CATTTTTAAACTTTGTGCCTAGCACAGTGGTCTACACATAGTAAGTGCTTAATTGTTTGTTGAATGAATGAATTGATTCAAAGCTTAGATAAAACACTGGTTTCTGGTCTCATGGAGCTCAATTTAGCAGGGAAGAGGTAGTGGTATGAAATGCATATAAATAACTACAATACAAAATAAAACATGATAACTGCCTAGGATAGACCCAAGAAAAATGCTGTTTTATGAAATCCAAAGGAGAAAAGATTGTTACTGACTAGATGAAGGAAGGTTTCTAGGAGGAGGTAGTCCTTGTGTTTGGCTTTAAGGAAGATCATAGGAATCCAACAGGTAAATGAGCCAGAGAAGCCATTTCAATCACAGTGTGCAGCATGTGAAAAATCACAAGGTTGGAAATGCAGGGTGTATATTAAGAAGGACAGAATACATGAGGAGGAGTATAAAATATCCTGGAAAGACAGTGGCACTAGTCACATCCAGCAGGTCACAAATGCCATGCAAAGAGTTTTAATAATAACAGTAATTTATAAGAAGCAACATGATATGAGACTGAAAAGGTACAGCGGCACCAAATTCTTGAGGGTTGCAAATGCCAGGCTAAAGAGTTTGGGTAATAACAATAACAAAAATGATAATAATAGCTAGCATTTACATAAATCTTTAACATTTGCAAAGTTCTTTACAACATTACCTCATTTTATCCACAACAACTCTGGGAGGTAGGTGTTATTATTATCCCCATTTTACAAATAAGAAAACTGAAGGCTAGGGTCACATAGCTAATAAGTGTCTGAGGCTGGATGGAGCTATCGCAAGGTTTTGAGTAGAGGAATGCCATTGTCACAGATTGCAAGAATTCTGCAGCTGAGCTCCCTTATTATTTATTATCTCTCCCAGCTGGAATGCGAGCCTCTGTGAGACTCTTTTTGTATTTGCATTGCTTAGTGCAATGCTGGGTCAATGATCAGAACTTAATAGATGCTTTTCCATTCCATTTTATTAGAAAGATAGAGTGAAAAGTATGAAAGATGGATGGCAGTGGGGAGACGTAGAGGTGGGAAGGCCTTTTCAAAATTAAGGTGGTGGTAGTAGTAAAAGAAAGGAGGGGGACATATGGGACATAGCAGAGAGAGAATCAACAAGATTCAATAACTGGTTAGATTTGGAAAGTGAAGATGATTGAGGAATCAAGGCTAATTCCAAGGTTTCAGAAATTGGTAGTGCTACTTGATGCGGTTTAGGGGTTCAGGTGTGCTGGGACCCCAAAATCACAACATGCTGGTCCTGTCCGAAAGAATTCAAACCAAGCTTTCTTTCAGCCAAAGACAAGGTTTGTTAGAAGATCCATCATATTGGGCAGACTCTTAAGGAGTCTAGGAGTCTGCAAGAATTGGCTAGATTCTAAGAATCCAAGCAGTGGCTAGATTTTAGGAATCTGAGCATCCTAATGGAGACAAGATGGACTTTATGTACAGAAAGACTACAGGAGGGATCTAGGAGTGGCCAAGTAGTACATGAGGTAATAGAATTACTAAGGAAGTGGCCTGGGGCCATAGGGAGGCCAGACAATGGAGAAGAGATTGGGTGTAGCCAACAAGGCCAGTTAATGGGATTATAGCCTAACCCCATCACTACTGACAAAAATTTTGAAGTCAGGAGGAAAAGCGTAGTCTCATCTTGTTGGACATGCAGGTAAAAATGTCCTATAGGCAGTCAGAATTGCAGAGAGGATTGAGCTCTTAAGAGCTAGATTTGGAAGTCAACTTCAGATGCCATGGGAGTGAATGAGTATTAGTAGACCGGGATGTGGAGGAGATAGAGTCATAGTCAAAGCTGTTTACACAGAAAGATTTCCCCCATAGCTTTTACTGCTAGGGATAGGATGGAGGATGGGGTAGTAAATGGCCTGCCTTGAAAGGTAGTGAGTTCCCTCTCATTAGAGATTTTCAAGGAAAGGCTAGATATTCAGCCCTCTCATGTATATTGTAGCAGAGATTCTTAAAGATCATGAATTTACTTCAAGGGACCTGAGCAATCACAGGAAAATCTCCTTATTTTACAGATGAAGAAACTAAGGCCTAGGGATGTCAAATGACTTGTCCAATCTACCAAAGCTAGAAAGGGAAAAAGCTAAGATCTGAACCCAGTTCCTCTGACTCCAAATCTGGCACATGGGTGTGGGGAATGGTAGGAGTAGGGGGTAGTTCAGGTTTTCAGGAAGTTAGGGAATATGGAAGTCAATTCAATTAAAAAACATTAATTAAGCACTTACCAGTTTAAGGCATAATGAGGATTGTTGAGAATAGGATGACAGAAGTGAAACCATCCCTCCCTTCAAGAAACTTAAAATCAGGTGAGGGAAAAATGTGCTAGTTAATGTGGTGACAGGTGTTAGGGATGAAAATAGCCACACACACACACACACACAGAGAGAGAGAGAGAGAGAGAGAGAGAGAGAGAGAGAGAGAGAGCACACAATGGTGAAAGCTGGAAGACCAGATGCTGTCTAGCATAGCTTATCTAAATTGCAGACACAGCTGAGCTTTACTCAGTTCCCATTCCCAAAGAAGGATGCTGTGAGGGATCCTAGCAAGAGTAACCTAGTGATGAGACTGCAAAGGGACAGAATATAAAGAGAAGCTGAGGACAAGACTTTGAGGAACCAACCCCTAAAAGGGGTGAAGACAAAGGCAAATGAAGGAGACAGAAGCAGACAGCAAAGACAGGCTGGTGTCTTGGAAGCAAAGGAAAGAGAGAGCATATAGTGAAAGGAGATGATCATCAGTGCTAAATACTACAGAAAGGTCAAGGAGAATGGAAACTGGAAAAAAAAAGGCACCGGGTTTGGCAATTAGAGTTCATTAGTGACCTTTGAAAGAATAATTCAAGGAGAGAATAGATAGCATTGGTTATAGGTTAGTTTTTAAGGATGTTTTGTTCTGAAGGTGAATTGATAGATAAGATAGTTGCAAGATGCTACAGAAGATTTAAGGAAAGGAATTATTTTTAGCACTGGGGAGACCCAAGTATATTTGTGGGCTGATGGGAAGGAGCCAATAGAGAATGATAGATGTATGAGAGAGAAAGGAGCTTTCTGAGAAGAGAAAAAAAAAGAGATTAGTTTAATGAAAGGTAGGATAATATAACTCTGTCCATCAAGAAATAATTGAATTTGGAGTCAGAGGACCTGGATTTTAGTCATGGCTCTCCTAATGTCCTTGTGAATTTGAGCAAGTCATGTTTCCTCTCTGGGATTAAGACAAATTGACCTAATAACAATAATAATAATAATAAAAGATTAAGGGTCTTATGGAAAGCAAGGAAAATTTGGTGGTGGCTTGCAGAGAGCTCTGTTTGTGTTTCAGCTGATGACAATTAACACCAATGTCTAAACTAAGGACAGACTGGTCTCTCTGATGTAGAGCACTTTGCAAACTTTAAAGTACTTTATACATGCTAGCCAGCTGTTACAAGTAGGAATTGGTGACTCCCTGCTGAGAAGGACCTTAGCCCCCATATGTTCCCCTGACCTCAACTATAGGGAGGTCCGTAGACTGGACTGGAGAGGGGACAGACTTGAGCCAAGGAGACCAAAGCCTGTTGCAAAGGTCTAGCTGAGAGGTGATGAGGACATGAGTGGTGGCTGTGTAAGTGGAGAGAATGGGATATGTAGCACAAATATTTTGGAGACAGAGATGACAAGATACGAGGATGTATTTAGGATGCAACAGAGAATCTGACATTTGTCAAACTTGAGGGCCACTCCTCACTGCTGGTGACTCATGGGGAGAGGGAATGGGAAGGGGTAGAGGTCAAATGATATTGCTAAAAGGAATCTAGAAGTCATTGCTAGGGATTATGAACTTCTTGGCTAGAAACTATAGACATTAGGGATGCAGATGATGTTTTCATCACTACTGGTTGAAAGAAAGAAGAGAAAAGCACATTTGAGAAGTAAATAGCTGGTTAAGAAGATGTCTGAGATTGGTTGGGATTTCTGAACCATGGTTTAAAATGTAGGAATGAGGGGCTCCTGAAAGGGAATATAGTTCACCTAATGAAGGCTAGTCAATATGAATTTTTGAATTGAAAATGGAGAATGAGGGAGAAAACTGGAAGTACCCTTGACTAGATGAGCATTCTAATGCAGTAAGCATAAATGGCTTGGATTGGAGGAACCAGAATGATGGAGGCACTGGAGAGATACATGGGGTGGAAGGAAGAGAAGGAAAGGATTGTTATATCCACAATAGAAAAGTTAACCAGCCCGTGGATCTAAACACAATGTGGAATGTGAATGTTGATATTATGGCTGCAGCCAGAATGGACTTGCGCTCCTATTGCTGGTGGCTCTTGGGGTAAGACTCCTCAGGGCATCGAAAAAAGGAAGCTTCTTAGCTAGCTACTGCTGTTTCTCCTCTGCTCTATACTTTAAGCTACAACCTCAGTCCTCTCTGCACTGTGGCCTGTTCTTCAGATCCCTGGCCAAATGTTCAAATGCCCCTTAGGAACTTCCATGCCTGATGTTCACGCAAATCAACCCACGATGACAACTGACTACAGGAATGAACAGAACCCAGCACAGACTACTCCAGGGAAAGTTTAATATGGAGTAAGTTTAGATGCCTTTGGCTCACTGAACAATTAAAGTATTTTAATTGCAAACTGAGACAACGTGCTAAAGGTGGGATTGAGGGGGGAGGGGGAACATAACAATTGTAGCATTCAAATGACTAATTCTGTTTGACAGAGGGAGCATGCCTAGGATTGAGAGGCAGCATTCGTCAAGTTGTTTTTCTAGGTCTCATAATTAAAAAGAAACAATCTTCCTTGACTGAAAATTCAGCAGTGGCTTACATTCTTTTAGCCCAGAAGTAAGAGTCATAGTGGATGTAGAGAGTTCTAGTGCAGTAGTGCATCCCTACTCTAGTGTATTAGAGTAAAAGGTGGGCATTAGTCATTCAAAAAACTTCCCAAAGTTTCCTTCTTGAGGTTCTTACCAGCAGATGTAGGCAATGGTAGCACAGCCTAATAAAGTGAGCCCTTTTTTCTTGGATGGATACCGATGCGGATTGAGAATGGCCTCCATTTGGGAAAAAGGTAACACAGCAGTGTGCTAGGGAAAAGAAGGAAGGGATTAGAACAGGAGATGAAGGAACATGATGATTTACATTGAACTGAATTTTTGTAATCATCTTTCTGCCCTTCAATCCATACTTCATTCAGCTGTTTGACACAAGTTTTCAAAAACACCCCATTTGACCACGTCATTCTCTGGCTTAAGAATCCACAATGGCTCTGTTGTAGGATCAAGCCATGTTCAACTGCCTGGCTCTTGAGGTCCTTCAGGATCTAGCCCCATGCTTTCTCCTCAACCTTATGACCCAAACAGCTTTGCTCCATCAAGGCCTGTCTCTTCATTGACTTTTGGGCATGCCATGTGTATTCCCACTTTCATACATTTACTTACATTCTTTCCTTTGATACTATTTACCTATCACCCAAGTTATTCACACATAAGTCCATTATTCCCAGGAACAAACAAGAATTCCATTTTATCAATTAAGTCTTCTCTGACCACTCCATCCCACTCCAATCTTTCCCTTCTCTGACACTTAAAATCTGCACCCCCAATCTAACCACTGAATTGTTTTATAATCATTTCATGTTTACATGTTGTCTCCTCAACCAGATTAGACTTTGAAGTAGAGACCATGTCTTATAGTAATACAAAACTCTTTCCTCATAGCAACCCTGTGAGGTGGAGAGGACAAGTATTATTATACCCATTTAGAGATGAGAAAAAAGGCTCAGAGAGGTCTCTTTCCAAAGGTGACACAGTTCATAAGTGTCACAGCAGTGACTCACACCCAGATCTTCAACTCCAAGTTTCCTGTCCTTTCTACTACATTATCTTGGCTCTATTTGACCGTTACATTGCTTGGGAGACACAATACATTATAGTTCCATAAGTATTGACCTGAAAAGGACCTCCAAGGCCATTTAGTTTAATTCCCTTATTTTACATATGAGGAAACTGTAGCCCAGAGAGAAGTATTTGTTCGAGGTCACCCAGGTGGTAAGTGGCAGTGTCAATATTTGAACTCAGTAAGCTCACAGTGTTCTGTTCACTGCAACACAGTGTCTCTGATTTGGACTAAGGTGTAGTCTTAGAAGGTATTGTTTTACAAATTGGAGAACTGGAACCAAGATAAAGTGAAGTGGTTTGTGTAAGGTGATAGCTAGTTAAGTGTTCAAGCCTGAATTGGAACCCAGATCTCATGACAACGGTGTATAATCATTCTCCATCAAATAAAGTGAACTCTCTCTTTAACCAGGGGACCTCTGAAATCAAGACATTGCTGCCACCCTCCACCCCCACCTCACAACTCAGCTACCTGTAAGGCCATGGAGTTCCTCACTCTTGAAAGAAAGCCAAAAGGAATCAAGTTCTATTAAGAACCATTAATTCTCCCATTATACTTGCCATTGATCTAACAGGTTTTATGAACCCTGCCTGCAGTTAACAGTTTCTATTTTGTACATTAATGGTCATTGGCAATGGTATTCCTGTGGAATCATGTAGTACATTTGCATTAGAAATAAATGAGTCTGCTGTGATTAATGTTTTAACAACAAATACCACAGGCATGCATGACTGGTCACCTGTTATAAAACCCTGCCCTTCACTGGTGACATTCAATTGGTTTTCCAAATGAATTCTTCTTAATGGCTTCTGGGAAGTTCACTTCAGTGATGTCATTAGTGCTGGGCCATATACTGTGGCTTAATACTAGTTGAAAGGGCTTTAAAAGCATCTCATTTTCTGGCTGGGGGAGAGGGAGGAAGGAAAGGCAAAGAGGAAGCTTGTACTCTGTTAGCTTTTTTAAATATCGAGCTACTGTGAATAGCCAACCATGATGCCATAAACCTCTCAGGAACCTGAGTGTATTGGTATTTCTGTCCACAGCAACAGAAATCAGTACAGCCTGTGTCATGAAGCATATGTTAAAAAAAAAAAGAAAAGGGAGGAAAAAAAGAAAGAAAGAAAGAAAAGAAAATCAAATTTGTTCCCTGCTCAAAAAAGAAAAAAAAATCTAATCATTAGGCTGAGATTGACACAAATTAGGATGCTGCCAAAAATCAGTGAAAACAGTGACTCATGCTGTATTTCAATTAACAGTTTCTCAGTTTCCCTCATAAAGAGGAAGCTGACAAAAATTAATTATCTCTGAGGGGTAAAATATTTCATTCCAAAGTAAACAAAACATCACTGGCTGAAACAATTATGTGTAACAGCGGGAGGAGATGGAGGAAAGAGATCCGTCCATCTTTCTTTGTCAATAAAACTATCTGCAGGGTGGGATGTGCTTGAAATTCCTCTCTGCAAAGACACCAGTAATGGAAAAATGGGAGCTTTCCCCACCTTTTTCCTGACAATTTTATTTTAAGAACAGCTTCATCTTCTGCCCTTTCTACAGTGCCTAGTTCCACCTGGGGTTCTTGGAGGAAAAAGAATTGTAGATGTCATGTAAGGATAGGTATGTCCAGAATCTCATTGAGCCATTTAGCTGTAAAACAGTCTTATAAAGAAAGAGCCAAAATACACCAGAATTGTTACCAGCCTCCCCTTGGGAAGTTATTGTCATAGAGAAATGGTTGGAGTTAAGTAATGTAAGTGGCTAGTATAAGCAATTTCTTTGTTAAAAATTATGTACTAAATGTTTGTAGGGAAAGAAGGCTAGAACTTGCAAAAGGATCTGTTGGGTTTGCCTGTTATACAATGGGCAGAAAGGTTCATCACTAAGTCCATACAACTCCCATGGTCACCTTCTTCTACTGCCTCCAAGGATTGAGTTAGCAAGGTGGACCCAGCCAACGGCATTCTCTTGAATCCCAAAATTTCACAGATGTTTATTTAATAAATGTATATTAAGTACCAACTATGTGCTGAGCACTGTGAATAGACCTGGGAGAGAGGTAAAGTTTTAGTAAGAAGAAATGGTCCTTGACCTCATGGAACTTATAGTCTGGAAGAGAGACAGGACACATATACAAGTAATAATAATAATATAATAAATATTCTTTCTTTAAAGAAAGGGAGTAAGTGCTTAATTTTCTCCACCAAAAGAAATATAAAAGGCCTGGACATTTAAAAATAATCAGACATCAATATTTCTGAAAATGTTTTATGTTCTTCCCTACATGTCACTCCCTAGGAGTGAATATTCCCTATATTGAGTGGACCAATATAAACGGTCTTCTGCCCATCAGAATTAGCATGCAAAGATCTTTATTCTACTGATGCTGTTTCTAGTGAGGTGCTACAAATGTTGCTAGCTATTTTATCCTTTCTTCCCTTACCAAATTCAAACACCACTCTGGTACCATAAATAATCTCTGATGATGGCTACACAGCCATTTCCTTGTGCATCTGAGAGGTTTATTTATTACCTAATGGTGCTAAGGGAGGTTTTTGTTTATATATATATATATATATATATATATATATAAATGTGTGTGTGTGTGTGTGTGTGTGTGTATAAGATGCACACACACATATATGTATCTCTTAAAATGTCTGGCCTTATCTAGGCAGGGATTTCTTGCCTCAGCACAATTGTTGTTGTTCAATCATTCAGTTATATCCAAATCTTTGTGACTCTGTGAACTGTACTGTCCATGGGGGTTTTCTTGGCAAAGACACTGAAGTGGTTTGCCATTTCCTTTTCCAATGGATTAAGGGAAACAGAGGTTAAGTGACTTTCACAGGGCCATACAGTTGATAAGTATATGAGGCTGGATTTGAACTCAGATCTTCCTAATTCCAGGCCCAGCACTCTATCCACTGAACCATTTAGCTGCCTCTACCTCAGACCAATGGGGAATGTTAAATATATTTTATTTGTTCAGTTTTGTTTTGTTTTTTAAAAAATAAAGACCTTGGAAGAATTACTTTAGAGCTAACCAGAGAGATAAAACATGACTTTAAGGTAGGTAAAATAAAATAGCAGTGGAACTTCCTTATATCCAAATTTTCAAATAGTCTGTAGTATCATGACTTTAGATGTTCTCTCCAATGGTAATGGTTGCCCCCGCATGCCTGCCTGTTCCTCTTGCTTGACTTATGTCCATATTCTCCTCTGACACAAGGTTCTGTTTATTTCCTAGAGGCTGTCTTTGCTCTCTCCTGATGCTGTGAGGATACTAGCACATCAATCCTGATGCCCAACTGTTATTCCTCATCCTTGCCCATATGACCAACCCATTTTCCCCCTAATGATACATTTCCCTGATGACATCTATTACTCCTGCTCTTCTTTGAAGTTTCTAATTTGCTATATGTTACACCCATGAACCCAGCCTCTCCATTGTCTGGCATGCAGTAGTGACTTAATAAATGCTTGTTGGTAACTCATTGACTTCTTCATTCATAGGAAACCTCTGTCACAATGGTGAACATCTTTGATGAACATACGTCTCCTTGTTTAATGCCTTGCCCGATGTTTAGCATGAGAAAGTTGTCAAAGTTATTTTTGCTACTATATCTTTCAAGACATCTCAAATGATTTTGCTGTGTGAATGAGAGGCACCTTGTTAGAATATCCAAAACAGATATTCTCTATGTATGTGTTCCAATCTACCCACTTTACCTGTCTTTTGTCCTCAGTATCATTTCTGTCTCCTCTGGGAGCAGATCCAGCACTATAATGTTACAGTCATGTGACTCTAGTATTTTTGCTCAATTTTGTCATAACTTTTTTTGCAGATCTTTTCCATTTTTCTTGCGTCTGCTGTTGTTTTTTCAACCTTAAGTACTTTCAGCATAGCTAATTAACTGGGACTCTTGACCAGCTTTCTTTAAAAAGGTTTTACTCTTCACTGTTTCTCTGCTGTTATTAGGAAATATTATTTATATTGTTTCACTATCGCTCTTTATTGTAAGATATTACAAACTGCTCAATACTCTAAAACCAGTGTTGTTTTTGCCTTTTGTCTCTCTTTTCACTTGACAAGTGTTTGATTGCCTGAGGTGCTTTTTAATCTCTTTTGGTTGTCTTTCTTTGGCAAATTATGAATGCCATGTAAAATCATTATAATTACTGTTGATGCTGT